AGATCTATACAATGACATCGAGCAAGAACTTTGTGTCGCTTATGTCTAATGTTGATAGTCCAAGATTATCACTTATCCGTTTTCAACTTGCAGAGATAATTTAATTTAAAGGTTTAATGTTATTATAGTTTTGTTTATTAAATTTCCAATGATTGCTTTTTATTATACCTTAGCAGTGTTGTGATTCAAAATCACAACACTGCTAAGGTACAATAAAATTCGATCGACTATCATCTTCTTAGTGGGCACAGCAACATTTTCAATAGAGATCTTTTACACTGGCCTCCAGTATAAGAAACTCATATTGTCACCATGGTCATAAAATACTACATTTAAGTATTTTTATCCTACCTTTATCCATAAATCTTCAGCATTGTCAGAAGTAGAATTATGACAGAATTTATTCGCCATATTTTGGATGATAAAGAACTATGTCTCCGCCACAGTGAGTTGATTTAGAACGTACTCGCCTAGTTTACCGGTCCTTTGGACAGGTCGGATTGCCGTAAGAAGATATTCTGCTGAAAATTCGTCATATCCTGTTTCTTCTTCTCTGTAGTTAAACGTTTTGTTTTACCTCACTTGGAATTCTTATCAGTTCATATAACCCAAATTTAATGTGTAAATTGCCTTTGAAAAACGAGACTTGCACCTAAAAGAAGAACAAAGGAAAAGAGTTCAGGAGTTTAAAAACTGAAGAATCTTAAATATTGAAAAATAAATAAAAATGATGTCATTCATCTTTTAATACGATTTGAGATTATTGAATAGTCAGAAGAAACCATATCTGTTGCATGATTAACAATTTCCGGAGAGAAACCAGAAAATAATCTTAACGAATTTGTTTTATTTTTGTTTTAAGATGTCTCAAAATCAGGTCGAATACGATATCAATCCACAAATGTCTAAATTTAGTAGCAGGAAAGCACCCTTGGAAGGATGTCATGTTGGCCTTTCGCTACTATTTTTAATCATACATAAATATTTAATAGATTTTTATTTAATTGATGTTAATTTATTCACTTTACACTGTGACGCAATCACTGCGAGTGCAATGTTATGTAATGAATAAAAGTTACCGTTATTATAACTGCGTGGTACGACTGAGTAATGTGGGTCAGTGACGAGAACAGAGGCAGGGTCGAGATGCCATTGACGCGTCTTTTAAACTTACGTAACAACTGCGTATTGTTTCGCCAAACAAGGACACTAAGGATGCCCCATGCATACATATACATACAAAAGGTAAAAATAAACGTCTTTCGTCATGCGGGCCTACGCAATGCAAATTGAACATCGCTTCGATTTTAGCATCTCGTTCAACTTGATAGCGTTTTTGCCATAGCTATTTAACCCAAACTTTGCCATCCACTTACAAAGGATCTATTAACTATTAAAGCCATTACTTTTACGGACCTTGCAAGTGTTCCATTATTAAGATATCCGTCAATGATATGACTCCGTTATAGAGTACTTAAATTAGTACCTATACAATAAAACAGTAAGAATTTGCTGTAAATAACTAAATTAAAAAAATATTCAATAGTCTTATAAGTTTAATACCTTGCAGAAATATACTAAAAACTTGCAATCGTATTTTACTTAGTGTACCTGCTGGTGTATCAACGGTTTCAAAATGAAATAGGCAGGCAGAACAGTGGTGTCTGTTGCTCGCAGGTGTTCGATGTCGCTACTAAACTGGTCGTGCATCCGGTCACAGTTTCGCTCGGAGACCGACAGATGGCGCCACATGTATATTTTACACTGTTAATATGTTGAGTTGTATAACGCGTATCGTCACGGACATACCTAATACCTACATACAGGTTCAAGTGTTGACGAATCATTATTATCGAATGTTTAGTTTTATTTTGATAATTTTTCCTTTTATTGATTAAAACAATAAGAGAATTGTGCCAGTTATCTGAAAATTGTGGCCCTCACCGTAGCTGCCTCGCCATATCCGTTTGCTTTGCTCCATTTTATCTTCTCCCTTCGAAACATCAAAAAGCAACATTCCCCAGGATGGATATCGTCAGGCAGCCAACCAGTCATAAAGAAACAGAATGTTACAAAGTTTAAAGGATATTGGAATTTATCTTAAATTTCGAGATAAGTTTTTAATCATCATCATCAGCCTATCGCAGTCCACTGCTGGACATAGGCCACTCTCATTGCACGCCACTTAGATCCATTTTGGGCTTCTCGCATCCAGCTCCTGCCAGCCATCTTGCGCATATCGCCACTCCACCTGACCTGACAGGCCTGGTGGAGTTTTTAATAACACTATCAAATTAAAGACACATTTTCTAATTACTCTGCGACCCGGGCCGCTTATGTAACTAATGGCGGTATTATCAGACCCGAGGGATCGGGATCGTAAACACGCTTGCTAACCCACTAAAACATATTTCTTTTATTTTGCAAAACGGGCTAACTACTCAGCCGGCAGTCGGTCGGTCCGGCATTTTACAGAACAGGTTCTTATATCGAAATTAACGATAAATCCGCTTCGGAGGTGCCGCCACACCGTTTTACCTTTACTGCATATTTTCCTTAGTCTCAAGAAGAACGTAACATTATTGAAACAATATATTTGTTAACTAAATACTATTATCAGACGCTATACACATACATTAGCCGCCACCACACGTCTACTGCGATAACGTGGAAATTAGAAAAGGTTATAGTTCACATTCGCTTGTATGATTCTTAATGTCGTTTGTGTTAGCATTAATTTAGACAAAAAAAAACTACCATTACCCAAGTGGAACGATATAGTTTTTACTTGTGTCTTTAATTTTGCTAAAAATTGACTACAACATTTGATTAGGTCTTGGAATTCCTCTAGCCTTGATTCATCATCATCATCATCATCATCAACAGCCTTTACTAGTCCACTGTTGGACATAGGCCTCTCCTTAGAAAGGTGGTTTTGGCCTACTATACCACGCTGGTCAGACGGGTTGGTATAGAGTAGGGTACGACACCCACGGGATGGATATCTCCACGGAAAACACATCTCAGTATACTTTTATTTTGTTAATTTTATCACAGAATCTTTCATTTGTGATAAGTTTAGTAACTAAAGTGTCAGTAAGAATTAGCACTTTTAAAATTAGGTAAAATTTCGAATAACGAAGACTTGTCTTAGCATACTAACATATTTGACCTAGCAAATTAAGAAGTCTTAAAACTCTAAAAAATGATTTATAGCTGTTTTCTGTTATTATACAACTATTTGACTATTGACCAAACAAAACATCAATGTTCCGCAATAAAAATACTACTTTGCTTTATAGAAGTTGTTAGGACAAATTCAAGGAATACATGACACGGATCTTTAATTATTTCTGTAAGAAGTACATGCGACCTGCCAGCATCATCTTGAATATTATCGTATTGTCCCTTGAGTTACGGATGAATACGTCATCTTCATGCTTTGGAGGGAACTAAGAACAAGAAAAGTTCGCAACATGCACCAGTAACTAAGCAAGTTAAATAAAAAAATGCTTGAAATAGAAGAACGTAGTAAAGACGCTTTTATGGCCTTCTTATTTCTAATCTATAATGCAATTATAAGAATTTTGTTAAACGCATGATTGGTTGTATTATTAGAAGATTATATTATATTATGGTGATATTAGTTTAAATTTTTTTATAAATGAAAATCAACACATTTCTTGTGTAGACGACTTATTGTGTTATCTTTAAACAAACTCTCGACAAAACTCGACTGCACGGATGACGTAGTGGTTGAAGCGGTCGCCACGCCGCTTCCTACTACGCCGAGTGTTGTGGGTTTAAACCACACATGGGACGACACTTTGTGCGATCCACAAAGTTGTTCTGAGTCTGGGTGTTCTTTGTGTCCGTTTCATGTATGTTTGTAGTCCCCCGCGACACAGGATATATTCCTAATGCGGGAGTTGTCTTTTTAAATAAAAAAATAAAAAACTGCTCTTCGTTCTGTGTTTATGCGTGGTATGCTTTTAGGCGCATTACATATACCTATTTCTTCATTCCGATTACTTAATTGGATTTCTTATTTCGCGTGTGCTTAATAGTCTAAGTACAAAGGCCCCTAAATTTATGAATAACTGTTGTGCTAAACATACTAGAAATGACTCAATATGACATGAAGTAAATCGAAGCTAATATTTATTGTGAACTTATCAAGATAAATCACATTACACAGATTAACAAGCGTGGACATATTTATGTGTATAACAAATATAAGTATAAGGAACCTAAACTGGCCACAGTGCGCATATGCATTGACCCGCATTCCCAATAGGCCATCACTGTTTGCACTGCGACAGTAATGAGATGTGCTATATTGACGATAATAGTACTATTGGCTCTCACATGGCGATCAATAACTTCCTAATTAGTTATTAGATGCTATACATATGTGGCTTTTGATTTCAGTTCGTTCAATGTGAATTGAATTGTCTCCTATTACGGTAATGAATAACTGATATTCGAAACTTAACTATGAGTCATAAGTTTACGATCTCTTATTCACTCAACAATAAGCTTTCGCTCACCTGTATGGATAATAAATTGATGATAGTAGTTTACGTCTGTATTTACATTTTACACACGCGTACACGAACAGCGTTATAAAACATGCAAGTGGTTGCAAACTATGCCTTATCTGATTTCCATGTGTATCGTAGAAGTAGGGAGGTGGACAAATTTGTCGTACCGTCTGATAATAATCTCATGTACCAGTATTTTATTATTCTTTTCAAACAATTCATTGGGTTCCAAGACTCTTGAGTGAATAAATAATAATTGAATGTTTCACAAAAAAGTTGTTACGTGCCTTTGATACAAAGTAAGACTCAGGCCAACAAATAACTGGTTGAGTTGGATACTTGGTTGAGTGCGTGCAGCTCGGTGCTCGGCGACCCCCCGCTCGACATTCGCTGGCGTGCCCTCGCTCGTTGGTAGCTATACATATGGGTCGGAGCGCTCGGCGTGCCGTCGCAATATCAGCCCGGTGAAATCGCTCGCCCGCCCGCTTCGTCGCACCGCACGCCTCGCCTGCGCCAGTCGCCGTGCGCCAACTGAAACGCGCGCACTGCTAGCGCAATCGAACGTACAATATTCCACACGAGGCTCTCGCTCTCTGGTAGCTTCCACCGCCTTCGCCCCGGTTCCGTTGCTATTACAGGCGCCGGTCGATGATTCTGAAAGTTTCGCTCCAAGGCAAAACTGTCACCTTTTCGACATACATTAAATTCATTAGTGTGTGTGAGAAGTGCATGTGCGCGGCTCGCCCTAATTTGTGCCTTGGTGTAATCGGGAAAAGGATTCAAGACGGCTGTCATCATAAGGCTGCCTGCGAACACAGTAAGTATCGCGGCGGCCGCATGACTCAATGTAAAATGGGACGATTCTTATCTACAGTACTTGTGTGTGTGGGTGTGCCGACGCTGAGAATGTCTGTGTTTGTGTGACATCCGACCGCCTTCGTGCGTCTGTGTGCGTTGGCTCAATATTCAGTTCTATTTTGTGGCGGAGTGGCTAGATGTTTGTTTTTATTATCATATGACCGGCGACCGTATAACTTGCTTTCGATTCAAATTGTCGTTTAATCTGCCACTTACTGGTATCAACGCAAATCTATAAAGGGTGATAAGGATTTACGCAAAACAGGAATGCCATCGATTTTGATTTTACATCATATAAGCACAGTGATATTGAATATTATAGCCAATTACATTTCTCTGTAGAGTTCCAATGCAAAAATTGGTTAATCTAGTTTCCCTGCTGCATTGGATGCCTGAGATTCGTTTGCCGTCGGCACCGTTGTAGGCGCATTTATACGGGCGCTCTCCTATGTGATATATTGAAAATAAAAAAGGTTTGTTAAATGTGAATATCCATCTGCAAAAGACTTTTACTGGACGTTTCAGTTTATTAATTTTATCAGATAACCAATATACCTCTGCTTAACAGAATCTATACCGCTCAGTATAATAGCTTTAATTAACTAGGACATTATAAAAACGTTTAAACATGCAATAAAATAACGCTGAAAAATTTAGAACTTTTTCCACTTTACCGTTGTTCTGGTGTTCTTTAACGTCCGTCTTAAGATTCCAGAGTAAAGCAAGCATACGCATCTATCTCCGTTTCTTATTTTCTAATTAATGCTATTGATGGCCTGAATGTGTAAACTTACTGTCACTTCATGAGTCATCGTCTTCCCATCTATATTATTATATTATGATGACATATTCACACTAGTTCCAAATATAAACTATAAGGGAACAGTGAAAAAAGGTAGATTCTTAACTTTGTTCATATTAAGCTAAACTGGAGAGACATGAACATGTATTATTTATTAAGTTAGTAAGTTTCGGTATATTTACTATTAAAAATGTATGGTCAACCGTAAGCGTGTTTTTGCATATTTAAATGAACGACTTCAGGCACATTCCAAGTACCTATTATAAACTTACTGAACTGATTGTGTTAGGTTGCCTTATTTTTCCCAAAAAGTATTATATCTCATATTTTATTTGATAGTGAAAAAGTTAGTGTTTAGTCAAGGATTTTAATTTAAATTACTTTACTGCCAAATATCTGTCAAAAGTAAACATTGAGGTTAACGTTAAGAGATATGTGATTCACTTTTATTTTGTTGTGTAATACCTTTAGCAAAACGTAATTTTAATTAAGTAATGAATGAATGAGGCAGTCAATGTCCCTCGATAAGTAATTTTATTATAAATAGAAAATAAAATTGGTAATACACCTACCTGTTACTACTTATATTTTTATTTATTAAAAAACGGACAAACATTTAATATTGAGAAAAGAAAACATTTTGAATGTAATATTCTATTTCATATCAAAACTAAATGATTTTTATTTATATAATGATTTTTCTTTTGTTGTTGTGAGAATGTTTTACTTTTGTAAAACGCTAAACTTAAAAACATCCTATTCCTTCCCTGTCGTAAGAGCCAACAATAGCACTGCAAAGAGAAGGGAAACTTAAACCATTTACCAACCTGTCTGACCAGCTTGGTATAGTAGGCCAGAACCTCCTTTCTAAGGAGAGCCATATAACCAGCAGTGGACTACTAAAGGCTGATATATGATGACTATAAAACAAAACAGTAAAGTTAAAATGTTAGTGTTACGCAAATAACTTTTCTTTAAGGTAAGGTCATTGACGATTGATTCCTATTCTTATTTGAATTGCATTGAGCTATAATTAAAGATAAAATGGTATTTCTAATCTTACTTTCAAATTAGATAATGTTTCTTCTTCACTTCCTCCTTAATTATATCTATAAAGTAAATTAAAACAAAATATGAATTTCGCCGCTAGACCTTACATTTAGCTACTCCTTTATGTATAATAATACCATGTCAGGAAATGTCATAGTTTATAATATAATACCAGCTAAAACTGACTGTTTAATGATACGTTAATCCAAGTTCGGCCATATAATCATCCATGATATTTAAGGCTTAATTTTTTTTTTGCCAAAACTACAGTTAACTATACTTCTATCTTCGATTTATTTGCACATTAATAATTGCTTTTACACTGTTGCGTGATCTACTTAAAATGTAATGAACGGCTAAAATAATACTAAATATTCCGTGGGATGGGCCTTGCTTTGGGGCATATGGACGAGCTCAATCCAAGTGATACTGATACCACGAAAACGGGTGTCAAGCAATAATTATTTTGTTGCTTTTCGTCGAGTGAATGAGGTTAACGAACGCCTTCCTCTCACCCCCCTCTCCCTTCATTCTGAGGCAAGGGGCACTCAAAGGGCGGCACTTATGTCTCTGTAGTTGCAGGTGTCTATGGGCGGCTGTAGTTACCTACTTACTATGAAGTAACCTGTTTTGCTAGTAACAATTTTATCCAAGTTTCTGATTTACATAGGTATTTGCTTTTAAGTTTACCTATAATACATATGTATGAATTAATCCAGAATAATTAAGTTAAAAAAAAATGTAAAAGCTTTTTTAAGATTTGGTTTTAATACAGTGGTAAGGCCCACCAAAATGCAAACCGTCAGCGTTATTTTAGCTTATTTTAAGGGGTTGACGAGAACACTAGTAGTAGAAAGATAACTCTATTGTACAATAAAACCATAATAATTATACAGTGTGTAAACATTGGTATGATTATTGTAATCTAAAGTTATATAAATGAAACAGAAACTAAAATATTAAAAGTTTATCGCGATTTGAAAGAGAATAGGAATGAGATAGGAAGTTGTAATTTGTAGATGTAGTTATACAAAATATACATTCAAAAGAGAATACAGAAATAAGAGACAGATAAACACAAGATTCCAGACTAAGCGAGGGTACCCTCGCTCGGCATTTGGGAAATGCTCCTTCAGTAATTTTTTAAAACTAGCCAATGTTTGTGCTCGTCTGATGGGGGGGCAGTGGCAATGCATTCCACAAGCGTATGGAATGCACTGTAAACGATTTGTCCATAAAAGTCATGGTGTGTTTCGGCATTTCCAAAGTCAAGCTCTGTGACGATCTTAAGGACTTTGAATGCGTATCACGTAAGAACCTGAAGCGTCCCTGTAAATAAAGGAGAGTGTTGGGATTAACGAGAATATTGTATAATAGTGAAAGGACTAGGTTAAGCTTATTCCGAAATTCAGAAATATGGTCAGATTTGCGCAATCCAAAAATGAACCTTATGCAAAAGTTTTGAAGCCGCTCAACCTTGTTAAGTTGGTCTTCGGTGAGATCGGGATAGCTGGTATCTGTGTAATTAAGGATTTCTGCAAGCGCAATTTTGGTCGTAATTGGCAAGAAGTTAAACAGGCTTCTCAGAGATCCGGAAGAAGCAAACAGTTTCTTACTGACTTCTTGTAGTTGCTGCGGTCCCCAGGACAAGTTTTTATCGAAGTGAATTCCTAGATTTTTGACGGTGTTCGAAATCGCAGAATATTTGGAGCTGATGTGACCAATCTACTTAAATAAGGTCCTAGTGCCACCGATTACGATTGCTTGTGTTTTACGAGGGGTGATCAATAAGTAATGATAATCAATATGAAACAGAACTATTAGATTTAAAAAAGTATTTTATTTTTCAACATAGTCTCCTTGCAAGTTAATACATTTAGTGTATCTTTTTTGTAAGCCCATGATTCCCTTAGAAAAAAATTCTTTGTCTTGCCTCCCAAAATGCCTCTACTGCGGCCATCACTTCACTATTGTCCTCAAATTTGTTGCCCCGGAGGTGTTCTTTGAGCCGAGGAAAGAGGTAGAAGTCACTGGGAGCTAGATCTGGCGAATAGGGAGGGTGTTCGAGCAGTTCGAACCCCGTTTCTTCAATGGCAGCCATCGCAACTGCGGCTTTGTGAGCCGGGGCGTTGTCTTGGTGAAACAGCTCTCCAGCGCGCAGTTTACCGCGTCTTTTTGACTTAATAGCTTCTCGCAATCTTCTTATTTGGCCTGCGTAGTAAAAGCCTGTTATAGTGGCCCCCTTTTCCAAATATTCCACCATAATAATTCCTTCTGCATCCCAGAAAACAGACGCCATAACCTTTCCCGCTGAACTTGACACTTTGAATTTCTTCGGCGTTGGTGAGGAAGCTCGTTTTTAAGTCATTGATTGTTGTTTGGTTTCGGGATCAAAGTGGTGGATCCAGGTCTCGTCCATGGTCACAAAACGCGACAAAAAAAATTCTTTATCGGCCTGGAACTTTTGAAGATTCACCTCGAAATGTCGACTCGTTTCTTTTTTTGCTCGTCGGTTAACATTCTCGGTACCCAACGCGCAGAGACCTTTTTCATATGCATTTTGTTGACAATGATTTTTTGAACGCTGCCATAGGAGATCCCTGTGACCTCAGCTACATGCCTTACGGTCACCCTTCGATCGGCCAACACGATATCTTCCACTTTTTTGACGTTTTCTCCAGTAAGGGACGTGGAAGGGCGTCCCTCGCGATGTTCATCTTCAGTGGAGGTTCTGCCCAGCTTAAATTCCTTTGCCCAGCGTGCGACTGTGGAATATGGAGGAGCAGACTTCCCCAATGTTTCCTCTAAGTCGCTGTGTATGTCTTTGGTAGACATTTTTTTCAGGCAGAGGTACTTGATGACAGCTCTTATTTCATTTTTCTCCATTTTGATGTTTTCTCTTCGACAGTTCGTATTCAAATGAATGTATCTCCCGGTAATGGTGTCCTATTTATACATTTTTTTGAAGCTGAAGTAGTGGATATATAAGCAAGCAGAAAAATAATAATTTGGGTTTTTGTGCGTTCTAGAAATACTCGATTATCATTACTTATTGATCACCCCTCGTAGATGGTTTCACGTTTAACCC